CACGCGGCCCTCATTATCACCAGAGACGCCCACGCACCGTCAGCACGCAACAAATCGTCAAGGAACGAAGGATAAGTCAGACTGACAGCAAGACACCCGCCGACAAGTCACATCGCAGGCATCATCACAAGCAGAACCAAAAGCAATGCAGGCCGCAGAGTAACGTGCATCAACTGACGCATGGCGTATGTAAAAGAAAAAAACTCAGTGGCGTTACAAGAATACAAGAGGCTGGCACTCTCTCAACAATAAAGGAACAGTATAAAAATACACAAAAAGCAAACAATTTAGGCGTCCACCGTCAAAGCAAGCCACAAATCAAATAAAGGGCAATGAAATGGGTGCACTCAACCACAAAATCAAAAAGGAAAACAAAACAAAAAGCCGAAGCGTGGGACGACCAGCGCACACACACTCTCATTGCTCCCGTAAAGCAAAACACACACACACAGAGAGAGAGAGAGAGGTCGCCCACTCAATGCAATAAAAACAAAACAGAAACAGTTACGGTGCTCCGCCCATGCAGCCAGGCAGGACGGCAGCGGTGCGTGTCGTGCAAAAGAGAGCACCAACGGGCCTGCATGGGTGTGCATGCATATATACAATGGGCACATTATTGTGTGTGCCTCGTGGGGTGAGGTGAGGGCGAGAGTCCATGCAAGGGGACACACACACACAGAGAGAGAAGGAAGAGTGTGTGTGCGGGCGGTGCACGGCTCTCTCTCCCTCACTCTCACGCGGCCACCACCGCAGCAGCAGCCGCACACGCAAGAAGAAGAAGAAGAAGCAAAAGAGGGGAAGTGGTGTGGGAGACCGCGGTGCTGCTGTCGCTGTCGCCAACCTTTTCATTATCGCCAGTTTGGCGTTTTTCTGTCGCTGCAGCATCCGGAGTTCGAGCATCCTCAGATGTCTTCGTCCCTGTGGAGCGTTCCTCCTCAAAAGGGGAAGGTTCTTCGCTTGTAGATGGCTCAGCTTCTTGTTCTTTACTGCCAGTTGATGTACTCTGCGCCGTACCTTCCGTAGAGGCAGAATATTCTTTATTTTCCTTTTGTAGTTCGGGTAGGTTCGTGGATGTATCCGTGCTTTAGCTTTCATTTGTCTTTTGTTCCGGAGTTAACACTTCATTTTGGGTTTTGTGCTCCGGCGGTACTGTGTTTGGCACTGTCGTTTGGACCGGTTCACTGCTTTCTGATTCTGTAACTGGACTCTTTAATAAGTCTTCTTTTCTGGGGTTGTGTGGATCCTCGTTTCCAATATCTTGTGTTCCCAATGAGGACTGACCTGCTCCACCCTTACTGTTCTCGCCAACACCTTCACCCTTTGTGAAGAAGAAATGTGTGGCTGAGGTGCTGATGGCGGTTGTGACTGTTGCGGTTGCTGTAGTACATTTACTTACGATTTTGGCGGTTGCCCTACTTCCTGTTCTTTATTTTGTATTTCTGGCTTTGTTTTTCCTTGTTCTGGAGCATTTTTCAAACGTTCTTCTAATTGCTCTGAAGAGCTTCTATCTTCACCCTCCACTCCAGGAGCAACAAAAAGTTGATCATTTTTAACTTCTTTTCCTTCCAAGGATTTTCCTTCAGACTTTTCGGTTGATTGATTAACATTGGGCAAACCTTTTTTGGATCTGAGCTATCTGATCCCGGCGTTGAAGTTCAAGTCAACCCCACAGCAACTTTACCACCACCGGCAGGAATCTCCACCACCTCCTCGTCACATCTACCGCCGGCACCGCACCACACGGCCGGTCATCATTACTCCTGTCACTTGCGTTTAGCCTTCAGCACAAACTAACTCCCCGTCAACGCAGAGCAAAAACAAAATGGGAGACACGTCACGCAATCACGCACCGTCACCGCACAGTCACAAATGGCAATGAAAACACCATGAGGCAGTTGGAATCAGTACAATTGCAGAGCTCACAGAATGCCCTGCAAATCAGAAATAATACATAAATAAAAAGCAGTAAAAAAGGCACAACAGCAGAGTTGAGAGTCCGGTAAAATTCCCCAAAAGTAAAAAATAAAAAATCGATCAGGGACGTCCTTTATTTTATGTGCCAAGCAGCGCAACGTAAACGACCACTAGTTTTTATATAAGTAATGTCTGCAGTAAAAAATCAAAAAAGATCGTGCTTTTCCGTGAGCCCATACAACTTTCCTCACATTTCGTGCGTCACCCAGTCTTTTCTTCCAATCCTCCTTTCGTGCAGTCCGTGGGACGCAGAGCAATGAGGCCGGCACCGCGTATGGGCAACGGAAGGAAACAAGAGGAGAAGCACGTCACTCATGACGAAGTGCAGCAAACGAGCATTGGGGGAAAACACAGAGATGCTGATTATTCCAATAGGGCAAAAGCAGCAAAAACAAATAAATAAAGAAAATAAAAAAACTTAAATTATTGACACAACTCATTGAGTGATGCTGGCAAGCTGCACAGTTATTGCTCCACGAAAAGCCGCAATTCCACCCTCCCTCACACTTCAGCAAAACGCCGCAGTGCCCCACAGTCCCAGAATCAAAAGCAACATCACCCGAGACGCACACCCATGCACGATGCTGTCACCAATTTCAGCCATGGACAACAAATCCGTGAGATGCCCCTGCTCACAAAAACCGTTGCTCACAAGTGATGCTGCGTCGTACTCCGATGGGATCTTGGTTTCCCCAGGCGCTGTGCTCGAAGAAGTCGGTGCGGCATCAGCGCCACCCGACACGTTACCCCTCGTTCAACATTTGCTAGGGCTGTGCTGGGCTCAGGCGTGGCTGTTGTACCATCCAAAGGCATTAGATCACTGTTGCTGAGTGAATCGGGGCCGCTTTCCGTGCCCACGGCAGCGCAGGCATAAGTGTCCTATTCATGGCCAACGTCTTGTTATTCGCTGGCAACTGTGTTGGCGGTGGGCGGCTTGTCTTCTCTCGCTGTGCGTGCGTCTGGATCCGCCGCGCCGCCAATTTACTCCCCTGACAGCGAAGCTCCCTGTGGGGCCTCACCGCACAGCAGCTGGCAGCCTTGCATGCACCTGCCGAGCGGAGAGTCCTGCCACAGAGCATGGCCTCGGACACTTCCCAGTTCCCCGCCTGGCAGCAGCATCCCAATCGCCCACACGAGTCCCTGTCGCCACAGACTCCCATTCGGCGATTGAGGCACTCCGCCTTGGACCGCTGGCGGCGCACGACTGCGTTACCGAAGAGATTTGCACCGTGCCGCATTCACTAGTAGATTGAGCTCACCCTGTGGATTTTATATTTTCCCATCACACTGCGGTATTCCACGCAACGTGACAGCGGACGCTGATGCCGTCATGGCACGATTGCACGATCCCTCCCGCAGGACTGCGTCAATGCCTGGCACGTGGACTTCCTCACTGCAGTGAAGAGGTTATAATGGAAGGATGCCCAGGAGGAAAAGGAAGGCGCGCACACCGCGTGACAGGCGCCTGTCGGTGTGGCGAGGACTCTGTTCCTGGTGTTGACCCGGACATCGGTCCCCGAGTGGCGGCACCGCGCACAGGCGCGATGCGACTCCTGCCCGCTCTTCGACAGGCCTGCACGCGCCCTGCGGATCACAAGGAACCCTCTGTGTCGGTGGTGCCGTCCCTCCCTGACTGCGGTGACCGGCCCGCCTCTGCCTCCGCCGGAACCTCTTCCCGACGTGAGCACCGCGACTCCTTGTCGACCAGCGAGCGGCGGATTGACGTCCTCCTGCCCAACCTGCGGCTGAGTGGGCTCGTCCGTCCACAGTATGAGGGCACATGCCGGACGTGCTCAGCCTGGCGTTATAATAGTTTGCGAGGGCCTCCCATGCGGATGCCACAATGGCGCCACCGTCTTCTTAACAGGCGCCTCGCGCACAGGTCGCCACCGAAGTTGCCAAGCATGCCAGCAGGCAACACACGCAGGAGGCACAAATGCGGGCACTCGAGATGGACCAGGCTCTTCCGCCACCGCCTCATCACGGACGCCACGGGCTGCTGATCCCCGACGGACCACGGGAGACTCCGCCTCATCCACTGCGGGAATGGCCTCGTCGTTGGGAATCTGGACTGCGACTGTTTGTGACTGCCCCAGCCCGCACGACGGAATACTTGCCACTTTTGTACGGACGGCCCTTGCGCTACTCACTCGTTATTGTAGCAGCATACAACCAAACAAGATAACAAGCTGCTTTGTGGTGAATATTGGCTGCACTTCCCGTGGACCAACAATCCGCGTGGTGTGCGGGGATCTCCTTTTTTATTGTTACTTTGCTGTTGTGTTGCTGTGTGCGCTGCACCTTCTTGTGTGTGTGCGCACCCTCCGTGAGGGGTGCCGACACGACGGACCGCTCTCGCCGCATGTACATGCGGTGGAGCCTTGTGTGCCGCTCCTGTTTGCCTCTCCCTCCTCCACCTGTGTGTTGGTGCTGTTGCGGCAGGGCTGTGTGTGTGTGTGTGCCTGCTGCCGTGGATTGGAGTGTGTGTCGTGCGTGGTGTGCGGCGTACGGTGCATGCCTGGCTGCTGCCCTCTCCTCATGTGGTGTGCCCTCGGTGTGTGTCTGCCGCACCTCTCGTCTCCCCTGTTGCTCTCCATGTCCCTCACTGTGCAGATCAGCTCCACACCACTGAACGACCACACTCACGATGATGATGACGTGCCGTCTGCTGTGCGCCCTGTTGGTGCTTGCCCTGTGCTGCTGCCCGTCCGTGTGCGTGGCAGACGCTGAGCCTGAAGTTGATGTTCAAGGTTCTTCCAGTACGGCAACGACGAATAAAACGCAGCCACCAGACCCCAAAGGGAAGGCCGACCTCAAACCTGATGTAGGTGTCGTTCCACCGCCTCCACCACAGCCACCGACTACTATGCCGGCTGCTGCCAATGGAAGCGGCCCCAGTCAATCGAACTCTGCAACAGTTGTAGCACCACCGTACCCCGGTCATTCAGATCTTTCAACAAAGGGACCCGTCGCAAAGCCGGGAGATGATGGCGGAGAGGGGCCGGGATCTAACAGTACGGCAGGTCTGGTACCAAAAGTAAGTACCGAACCTAATAAATCACTGACAGAGGTTACGAAAGAGCAACAAAGTCGCACTAATACATCCGCAGAACAAAAAAATAAGGAATCTGAAACTTCTGCTCAGACAAACACCACGACCACGACAAAGGCACAAACTACGACGACCATCACTACACCAGAGGCACCAAGTGCTACGACTACAGAGGCGCCAGCTGTGTCGACCACCCGCGCACCGTCACGTCTTCGGAGTGTCGACGGCAGCCTCAGCAGCTCTGCGTGGGTGTGTGCCCCGCTGGTGCTCGCCGCATCCGCGCTGGCGTACACCGCTGTGGGCTGAAGAGGTGTGTGCGGGCTGTGCGTGCCAGCACTCAACCGCGGGAATTTGTGCGCGTGTGTTGTGGTCCACTGTATAAATAAGAGGAAATAATGATCTTGTTTTGCTTCACTTGCTTCTGCTGCCGTGCTGTGTGCTCCGCGTTGTGCCCCGCATCCGTCACGTTGAACGCATCGCGGACACACTCATATGCATGCGCACTGGAGCCCTGGGTTTGTTTTTCTTTTTTAATTATTGCTTTTTAATTTCTTTTTAAATTATTGTTTTTTAAACTTGTGGTTTGCGGTGTGGTGTGCGAGCTCTGCAATCGTACTGATTCCATCTGTCTCGTGGTGTGTGCACTGCTGCTGCTGCTGCTACCGCGGTGCTGCCGTTTGTTACGGTGCGTGGCTGTGTGACTTGTCTCTCCTTTTGCTTTCACTCTACGTTGACGTGTTGTTAGTTTGTGCTGAAGGCTACGCGCAAGTGACAGGAGTGATGGCGATGATGATGACTGGCCGTGTGCTGCTGGTGTGTGTCCTCTGCGTGCTGTGGTGCGGTGCCGGCGGTAGATGTGACGAGGAGTGTTTGCAGGATGACTTCGGCGATAAGTCATATGTGGATGCTTTGAATTCACTGGCGAATAAGACTAACGATGAGCTTAAGGAGGAATGCTGTGAAGCATCGAGGATAAAATAACGTATTTAAATACGTTGAATGACATTATTGCAGATGCGCTGACGGACGAAAAGACGAAGGAAGGCAAAGAAGCTCACAGAGAGCTTGGCGGCTCGAAGGATATGGGGGCGTCAGTTGGCAGCCCAACAGCGAAATATCCAAAGGCTGCTGGCACGAAGAATGTCGGAATGTCACCTCATCTTTCTCTTTCCTTGAAGGTGGATGGTGGTGTTGACGCCCAAATTCACAGCCCAGCGTGTGGTGCTGGCCACCAGCCGCATTCCGATGACGGTCGCAGTGAAGCAGGGCAAAGGAATCACCCAGAGGCGGAGCGCTGCAGCACAGTCCAAGCAGCCTCGGGTGGACGCAGTCATGTGCCTAGAGGTGACGCAGCGGCGGAAAGCTCGCATCAACACAGCGTGGAATTGAAAAGAAAAAAGTTCTACGACAAGGACGAAAGGACAGAACAAACGGGACTGAAGGTGACAGAGGCACGGAAAGGCACGGACGGAGCACCAGCACCACCACAAGATCCAATGAATATGTCTGAATCACAAGAGGATAAATGCCGGAGAGTAGCCGCACCCGAAACAAGCCACGCAGAATACATCTTCAGGCAGCAGCCAGAACCAAACAGCTCAGTCTTCATTTCCCAGTGGTAGTGGAACCACCGGCAGCTCGGATAACAACGGCACATAAAAGACCTCCAAATGCAAAAGCGCCTGGTGCCCCACTGAAAGATGAAGAGCAGAACCGTGAGAGTACAGCTTGGAATGAAGACACAACAACAGTTGGATCCGCCGCTGTGCAAAATAGTACGATGAAACCTGGCGACAGTGACGGCAGCACTGTGGTCTCCCATACCACCTCCCCTCTTGTGCTTCTTCTTCTTGCGTGTGCGGCTGCGGCTGCGGTGGTGGCCGCGTGAGAGTGAGGGAGAGAGAGCCGTGCACCGCCCGCACACACACTCGTCCTTCTCTCTCTGTGTGTGTGTCCCCTTGCATGGACTCTCGCCCTCACCTCACCCCACGAAGCACACACAATAATGTGCCCATTGTATATATGCATGCACACCCATGCAGGCCCGTTGGTGCTCTCTTTTCCACGACACGCACCGCTGCCGTCCTGCCTGGCTGCATGGGCGGAGCACCGTAACTGTTTCTGTTTTGTTTCCATTGCATTGAGTGGGCGACCTCTCTCTCTCTCCCTCTGTGTGTGTGTTTTGCTTTACGGGAGCAATGAGAGTGTGTGTGCGCTGGTCGTCCCACGCTTCGGCTTTTTGTTTTGTTTTTTTTATTGTTTTATTGCTTTTCTTGTGCTGTGGCTGAGTGCACCCATTTCATTACCCTTTCTTTTCAATTAGTGGCTTGCTTTGACTGCGGACACCTAAATTTTTTTTTTTTGTATTATTATATTGTTCCTTTATTGTTGAGAGAGTGTCAGCCTCTTGTATTCTTGTAACGCCACTGAGTTTTTTTCTTTTATATACGCCATGCGTCCGTTGTTCCACGTTACTCTGCGGCCTGCATTGCTTTTGGTTCTGCTTGTGATGATGCCTGCGATGTGACTTGTCGGCGGGTGTCTTGCTGTCAGTCTGACTTATCCTTCGTTCATTGACGATTTGTTGCGTACTGACGCCGCGTGGGCGTCTCTGGTGATAGTGAGGGCCGCATGTCTCAGAGCGCAGGATGCGTCGCGGGTGTGCGGCGTCGTTTGTAAGTACCGATGGGTGACCATCCGCATCCAGGCGTCATCAACGGACTGTGAGGGCAGCAGGAGGCACTGCGGCTTCTTTTGGCTTTGCGCAAAGAGTTTATTGGACGGTGCGTTTGTTTTCAATCTTTGCAGCTTTTGTGGGGAAGGTGGGAGGCTAAGGGCATTAGGACTGAATTCATTTGGGTGGCTGCCTTCCGTTGACATGCGGCCATTCGTGGCACTCTTTTGTGGTTTGGCAGCTCGTCTCTTTTGTTTACTTCCCACCGCAGCACGTGGAGGCCACTGATCCGAGGAACTTTTGTTTGACTGCATGTGAGCCGCTGACGTGCGTGGTGTATGGAGTGACGAATACTTCTGTTTGGCGTGTCGCGGTGTGTCGGAATGATGTTCGGATGACATGTGAAGGGTGTTGTTTGTGATTTGTGTGTCTTTTCTGGTGGAGCCGACATGTGTGCGGGGATTGTGGCATTGCTGACTGACAGCTCCCCGTCACTTTTCAGCATTCCTGGATGTGCCGAGGAATGACGGCTGGCGACCAGCGTGTTGGTGCTGCCGGTGGGAATAAGTGCATCGGGAATGGGCCGTTTTCTCATTTCCGTGCTGGAGCCGATGAACTGGCACGAGGGCACCGGCTGCAGGCTGCCTGCCAGCACGTGTGAGCAGCGGATGCATGCACACACCGACGCTCATCGCAAGAGCTTGTGCGATCACAGTGGCTTTTGTGGCGTGCTTTTGTGAACGTCATTCCGTCGAAGAATGTGTGAAGCAAACGGCTGACTGCACACGAGGGAAATAAGTGCGTGCACTGTGCCGTGTTTCAGCGTCGATGGCAGAGCGACAGGAGGCCCGTGCTGGCAACTGAGATCTTTGCGTCGCGAGGGATGTCAGTGCTGATTTTGGATGGTCGAGGGTGAAGTGATTTTGCTGCTGCCCGTGTGTGTGGCCACTCCGGCAGAGAGCGGACACAACAGGGAGGGATGCAGGCGCTGCGTGTGTGTGTGCAGGTGCCATGCAACAACGTCACAACAAACATGCTGCGACTCGGTGACCCTCACATCGTTGTGGTCCTGACGAGCAGCGCAGGCACGGCCCGCATCGACGCACTTAGTGGACGGAGTGAGGCATCTTTGAGGCGCTGCAGGGAACAGGATGTGTTGACGCAGCCACGACGTGCATGGAGTGTCACGATGGCACAGTGAGCTGTGGCTGGTGGAATATTGCTTCTCGGAGGCAACAGAGAGAGGGAGAGCTGCTCCTGCTGTTGGCGTCGTTGCTGCCTCTTGTGGTCTCCCATGCCGATTATTGTCTGTCCGCTGATCATGGGTGGCATGCCTCCACTAGTGACGTCGTCTGCAGGCATTTCACAGCACCAGTGAAACACACATCACGTCGCATGCTTTGGCTGTGGATATGGTGTCGTGAATGCAGCCGGCATTATTTTGCCCGACTCCTTTTTACTGCTTTGCGACAAATGGATGCGTCTCCGCCCGAGTCATTCACTGCAGCTCCGTGTGTTGTGCTGCCAGCACAAGACTCTCTTGTTGTCTGACGCCTGGCTGACAGTCCAACACCACTGCGTTGGGACATGTAAGGATGTGGACTGCCGCTCACGGTGTTGGGCACCGCTGTTTGGATGCGGCGGCCACACGAGCGGATGTATTGTGGCACAATCAAATGCGTGAAATATGCGGAGTCACGGCGGCTGCAATAATACCAGCGGTGTGGCACCACGGAATCTGTGAGGGGGTGATGCATGATGAATCAGAGTGGGCGGCATGCGAGGGAAGTGCACCGCGACGGAGCGTCATCCCGCCCTCAGCCTGCAGGGGAATGTACGCCCACAAAATATATGGTCGAGACACCACCAAACAGACATGCCCTTCCATGCAGCAATAAATAGGAGCGAATGTGCGTTCTGGTGCGTGGGAGTCCACTCACATATTTTTATTACCACCACAATAAACGATGAGGAATCAGGTGCCACAGCAAGGAAAAGAGGAAATAAAAACATCTATTGCAGCACCTTACCAGCGAAAGGCAGGAACAACACACACCGAATTATTGGCTGCACCAACACAATAAAAATTCACAAGAGAAAAAAAACAAATTGTGCACCTTGCGGAAATTCTTGAAACACACGATCCAGGCATGAAGGTTTGCCCTCTGAAAAAAAAAAAAAAAAACGCATGCGGACATCTGCCAACATTCAAAAAGAAAAAAAAATAAATGGTTGCTTTCTTTGTGCCATTCCTTGCGCTTATTTTTGAGTGTGCGGCTGCTGCGGTGGTGGCCGGGCCTCCATGAACTGGAGTGCGATGAATGTGGACGAAGGCCTACGGCAACTGAACTGTTTTTGTGGTGAATATTGGCTGCACTTCCCGTGGACCAACAATCCACGTGGTGTGCGGGGATCTCCTCTTTCTATTGTTACTTTGCTTTTGTGTTGCTGTGTGCGCTGCACCTTCTCGTGTGTGTGTGCGTACCCTCCGTGAGGGGTGCAGACACGACGGACCGCTCTCGCCGCATGTGCGTGCGGTGGAGCCTTGTGTGCCGCTCCTGTTTGCTTCTCCCTCTTCCATCTGTGTGTTGGTGCTGCGGCAGGGCTGTGTGTGTGTGTGTGCCTGCTGCCG